AAACTTACGTAGGTCACTTTCCTTCTCTTCCCACTCTTTGGATAAGAAAATGGCTTATGTTTCCTGAGCTGTCAGCCTAGTAGTATTTGTGAGGGTTGTGTTTACAGAAGGAGTAGAAGTAGTATATTGCATTTACAGTGTGTCTGTGCCGTAGCTACTGATTTTTCCGGATGCCCCTAGTTGCTGTGTACTTTGGGGAGACTAATATTTCGAAATAACCTTTAAGCAAGTGGCAGGTGGTATAAAGACAGAACTGTGTAACTCAAATTATGTGGGTCACCTGGACACTACTGAGTTGTCTTATACAATAATCAACTTCAGAAATAAGTGTGGGCCTTCAGCTTATTTTTAATTATAACCTCTTCTGGCAAAACCATTGTTTTATTCACACATTCTTTTTTTATGTATTTTCCTCCCATTTATAGGAACACAGTAAAATATTTGTTACGTTAGGGTCGGAGTATAATGACAGTGTGCTGGATTTGTTCCCTTTCACCTTCCATCAGATTTGGCTCCCCTGTGTATAATAAATAACCCAGAATTAAACAAAGGTGAGAGAATGTCAAGTTTCCTGAGTTTTGTATTGTTAGCATGTAATACAACAAAGAATGTTCAAAAAATTATCCAATAAATAGAATTCTGAGTTCATCTCACTGATGACCTAGTCAAAATCAGTTTCCCTTCTCTGAACCAAACTACCTCTCTACTTCCTCCTAGAAGATCCTCTAACTGTTATGGTGGCTACTTTTCTAAGAGGTTCAACATAATTTGTTCAGAGTTTTGTGTAAAATAGTCTTTGAAGAGATGAAAAAAAAAAAAGAGGTTGAAGGTAGGTGAATGACTGGTCTATATTAGACCATGCTTCTTGTAGAAAATTATAAGTTGGTCAAAATTCACTTGGTTTCATGTAGAAGGCCAGTGAGCTGTAGTCTTAGGAACTGGTTGTGGTATCTGCCCCTTTTGCAGAAGGGAAAAAGTGTGTTGTCATCTGATTGGGCATATTTATATGGGCACATTAAATGAACTAGTACTTAAACTGTTAAATTAACACCTTCTATGTTAATGAATAATCTCTTGCAGTAACTTTGTTCTAAGTTTAAAAGGATTACTCATGAAATAATTTTTCTTTTTTTAAAATTTATTTTATTTTATTCTTAGTGACAGGTACTTGGTTAAATAAGATCTCCTAAGGATAACATTCTCTAATTTCCAAAGATGGAAGCTGTTGCAGGTAATCCAAAATTAGTATTCAATATGTTCGTTTTGCTATCTTTTAGCTAACAGACATGGTCACCTGATGTTAGTGATTGTTACTTACATGAATTTAGTGTATGTAGAAAAGAATTTATGGGTCTATATTATTACACTTCAGTTTGTGGGGTCTATGTTATTATACTTTAGATTTGAAGAAAAAGTTCTTTTACTGGATAACTCTTTGTTTCTTAGATAAAAACTAAAAGGACTTTCCTCAAGGAAGTTACTTTTTTCCATATTTTTAAAACATGCTTTGTATTTTAAGATAGTTTCAACTCTTTCCTGCTGAGTAGCAGTGGGCTCTCAGGAAGACAAATGTCCCCGTTTTGTGCCATTTTGTAATGAGGGTATCTTTTTCCATTTCACACTTTTTTGCTTCCATAAGCAGATTATCATAGCTGCTATGCTTGGACCAAAATCTCTTATTTTGCGGGGCAGGGGGGAGGAAGACAATTTCTTCTTATGCTTTTCTGACCTGGCTCTGAAATAGTGACACAGGCCTGGCATGCTGTGGTATGTGTTAATTATTCTTTCAAACCCTGGGGACTGGATTCTAGAACACAGATTCACAGTCATTCACACAGATATATATTAAGATGTAAAGAGGCAAATTCCTGCCAAAGATTCACTTATGTAACCCAAGTTTTGGGGAGAATTTACTTCACATTTTTCAGATCTGTAGAATAGCTTGTATTCACAAAAGCTTTTGTCCTCTGTGTTCTAACCTTGACATTCAGCAGATCCTCTGTTTCTGCATAGGAGGGAGATCTGGGTGCATAAAATGTAGCTTTTTGGTAATGTCCCTATTTCCACCTTCAGAAGACCCTTTACTTGCTGAGATTAATGTTGCTTCTCATGTGTAAATGCTTTCTATTAAAAATGTTCTAATATTGTGCTCGCTCCTTGGCTGGAGTACTCGTCTTCATTGTAACACTTGCAGCTATAATATCAGGGCAGATGCGATATGCTTTTCACTGCTTAAGATGCATCTGCAGAAAAGAAAATAATTTCAAGTGTTTCTCTGGAGAGGCACTGCTTTTGGTAAACTAGATTGTGATATTTATTTTTTTTTTCACTATTAATCAACGCGGGCAGTGATGGTGTTGTGTGTATCTCATCAGAGATGACAGCTTACATTATACCCGTGTATATATGACCTACTAATATAACAAATGCGTTGTTAAGCCTTGCTAAGTATTTTTACATGGCATATACAATATTAGATGCTATAATCTTATCAGTGTACCTGTCAGGCTTTCTGTTTCTCTAGGTTGCTTTTTGTTGGTGTTTAATTTTGATTGTTCTCGATCAACAAATTAAATGTAATTTAAAACTGGGATTAGCATGTTACTGTAGTTTCTATTCTGCCTTCACCTTGCTTTTCCCTTCAGTGCTAGAGGAGGTACTGGTTTCCATTGAAAATGAGCTGCAAGCAGTGGAGATGCAGATTCAGGAGCTTATGGATAAACAGCAGGAACTCATTGAAAAGAAGAAGAGGGTAAAGAGCCTGATAAAGCAGTCCTCAGGAGACGTGGAGGCAGGTGGAAGTAAAGACACCGAAACCTCACCTGAAGCATGGAACAAAAACGGTTTGCAGAGTCAAATTCCGATATTCTAACATAGAAGTAAAGTAATTCAATAGGGGGAAAGATGTGTTCATACAGAGTTTTGTTTGGGTAATGATATTGTCCTATTTAATTTTTGTCCTTAACTTTCTGGACATTCCTAAATACTAATCTGAGATCCTCTGGACAGAATTATCACAAGAATGGCCTGTTATAACTACTTTTACTCCTTGCGTGTTGCAAAGTCACAACTTGATTTGGTTTGCTACAAGAATCCCAAAGTAAGCCTGGATTTATTGCAATACTTATATTCCCTGTTTATTTATGTCCTGAAAATAATTACTCTGGATCTTTTCAGGATTTTATAATAACAATCTTGCACTCTCAAAGTTACTTCTTGCTGTCTTTGTGTTTCTTTTTGCTTGAGTGGGTAGGACATTGATTGTGTCTACCTCACTGTCTTACTAAATTAACTGTTATGTAGCCTCACTGTTTACCAAATTAATGCAAATTAGATGGATGCTGACTGCCAAAAGTAACGTAGAATACATTAGTATGGTAGAGTTATTCCAAGTGGCAGCTACCCCATGGTGGTGTGAGGGCTGTTGTTCTTTTGAAAGTGCTGTCTTTCAAGTTAAACATTAACTGAAGTCCTGGATAGCTGGTGGGTCTTGACCATGTTATGCCTAGCCAAATTCAATTCAGATCTCTTTATTATTTTTTTTCCCTCCTCTTTTAATTCACTTGTGATTTGGAAATGCGTTGTTAATTTCTGCCTATATCTTTTGTATATATCCTCTTTTTTGGCTTTTTTTAAGTAATGAAATTAATTTTGTAGTCTAATTCATATTTAACTGTGTTTGAGAAAAGTGTTCTGCCTGTGTAAGAATACTGATACTTTAGAATTGCAAATTGATGCTCTTGAACAAATCAATTTGTTTTGGGTAACGTTGTGCCTAATTATCTCCTCCTGTGCTTTGAAAACTAACATCTTTGCAATCAGATGCTGTGTACGTGTTGAATAAGAGTAGTAGCTAAATTTAGTCCCAGTATAAAGCTCACTGAAGTCAATGGTAGGCTCTTGGTGGTTTCAGAGACCGTTCTATCTTGGCTGTGCTCTCTGTAGCAGTTAGGAAGCAACGACACCTCGAGTCCCAATGTTAATTTGTGCATTGCATGTCATGCACATGCATATTGCATGCATAGCCTGGAGTTCCCACAGTTTTTCCTGCATTTTAATTTTAATAATATGAAAATGGTTAATATGCTTTCTGATGCATCTGAAATTTAAGGTTTTACAGTATTAGCTCTTTAAATGATGCAGTCTTTAGCTCTTTATTGAAAAGAAAAAACTATTATAGACATATTGGGGCGATTATTTGGGGGTAGATTAAGCTTCCCCTCCCCCCCTCTTTTTTTTTTTTTTTTTTTAATAAATGCTTATTATCTCTGGAATATGTGGAGAAAATGGTAGCCCTGGCTTCATTATACTATTTGTAATCGCTGCATTTGTATGAGGGAAGCATTTGGGCAACTTAGTAGTGAGACTCTTGTAGGGCTCATTGTCTGGTTTTATTTATTTTCAGGATGAGCTTCTCATTTCCATTTAATTATGGACTAATCAGTTAACTTGATCATTAGCACTTTGAAGTTCTTCATCTGCTTGTGAGTTTTTAGCATTAGTTCACATTTATGTGCAATGAGAGCCTTTAGTCTGGAGCTGGATTGTGTTTATATTTCATAGGGCTTTCAAAGGTCCACCTTAGATATTCGTTTATACAGACTCGGGTTATGTGTAGCTTTTTGTGTGCCATTTTTGAATCTTTGAACACTTTCCCAGATCTAAAATTGTATTGCTTCTAGATTTATTATTGTATGTGCAAATTGTCCTTCCTTCTTACAGATGAACAAACTTGGCTATGAAACATGTTTGGTTTTTTTTTTTTCCTTTAACAGATTTTCCATGGTATGAGAAGATAAAAACTGCACTGCAGAGCAAGTTTAAACTCCAGAAGTTTAGGTCCTTGCAACTTGAAACAGTAAATGCTGCAATGGCGGGAAAGGACATATTTCTTGTCATGCCTACAGGTGGTGGGAAGAGCCTTTGCTATCAGTTACCAGCTGTCTGTTCTGATGGTATGTAATGGTATTGTCTCCCTTTTATAGTTTTTTGGAGAATAAACATTATATTGGCATCTAATATTACAGTATGGGGAAAAAAGAGCAAAGATACAAGAGAAAGATTTACTAGAAATATTTGCTTTGCTCTCTTACTTTGTCTTCTCTGAAGGAGCAATAGCAACTTAAAAAAAATGTGCCTTTTAGATGTGATTTAGATTTAAATAATTTATCTAGGTTCCTCAATACATTATATTATTAAACACTGAAAAAACTTTTTAGAAGTTCGTCACTATTTTTTTTCTTTCTTTTAATTTTAATTCAGTATACAGACTGTAAATTATTTAAGTATGGATATCTGTTGTTTGTCTGTTCCACTCTAAACTTTTAGCTTCAGATTATTTGGGGGAGACTTTCTGTATTAATTTTTTAAACATAAGTATCCAGTTCTAATTTCTAAGCTTTTTTTGAAAGATAGCCCATCCAATTTCGTGGAAGTTTACTTATTTGCAATATACCAATACCAAATATACCGATACCTAACATTGCTTAGTTGTGTGGTAAATTAGCACCTCACAGATGTGAATCCAACTTTGTTTGTTTCATATATTAGTTCTTATACTCTGCTTGTTGCAGCTCCGTTGTCTGCAGTCTAGATTCTAAGAGAAGGTGCACGTCACAGGCAGTTGGATGGAAGTATCCCTGCGTGACCTGGCACTCGCTTACCAGCTCTCTAGGAGGGTAATCTGAAACTGTGTGTGAAGCTTAAGCTCACATTTGGCAGTTCTTTCAAAGCAGGGCCGATGCATTAATAAAAAGTATTCGAGGAGGTATTTGTGACATCTGAACTGTTCAATTTGCACGATGATTGATTGTTACAGGTTTCACACTCGTGATATGTCCTTTGATATCACTTATGGAAGATCAGCTCATGGTTTTGGAACAGCTTGGTATTTCTGCAACTTTATTAAATGCCTCAAGCAGTAAGGTATGTTTAACTGCCAAGTCTTCATGGCTTTTGTGGTGTATGTGCCAGCGTCTTCCCTCTGTCTGTTATTTATGAATACTGAATGAATGGCAGTTTTATCAGCTAATGCCATTCTGTCAACAGTATCTTGCCAGCTACGTGCTGTGATGTGGATAATGCAAATAAGTATCTTGTGTTCCTGTTTTAATGACAAACACGCATGTAAGCCAACACCTTTCGTGGAATAAATAGATTTCATGGGACTGTTTAGAGGATGTTAAGTACCTTTGGCTGATGTGTGTTTCTAGACTTCAGAGAAGATTGGAGTGGGTGACTTTTGTCCACTAGTAACATGTTAAATAGTACAGGCTTTTACATACATTTATCTTACTTTAGGATGGTAAGCTGTTTGATCCAGAGGCCAAGAAGCAACTTATTTCCCAGTCTGTTATTAGTCAATCACTTTTTACAGTGAAATATATATTCCTGACTGCCAGGAGGCCATGGTCATTAACTTGCATGTGGCACTGGATTTGATAGGTTAGTGGCTTGATGCAATGTGCCAAACTTGGAGCCTGCTTTGAGACAGAGTGCATTGAAAATTCAGTAATAAAGATTGCAGTTTTGTGTAAGAAATTATTTTACACTTGTTATATCACAGGCATGTTTGGTACATTATAGTTTATTAGGAAAATACTGATATTACATGATGAAGCTATGACAACTATTCAATAGTTTGCTTTTTCAAAGCTCTGTGACAGATTTTCCAAGTATTAAAATCAACATTTGATATATAAAGATCTTCTGGAAAGACTTATAGCAGTGGTAAATACTATGTAACAATTTGTCAGTATCTGTTAATTACCCTTATGAATTGTTAATTACCTCTTAAGAATCTTCGTACTAAGCAACTTCAGTGTGTTGTCCTAATATGTTAGCCCCCAATTTCTTCTTTTGTTTTGAACAGGAACACGTGAAGTGGGTTCATGCCGAAATGCTAGACAGAAATTCACAACTGAAGCTCATTTATGTGACCCCGGAGAAGATTGCAAAAAGCAAAATGTTCATGTCAAAGCTAGAGAAAGCTTATCAAGCAGGGTGTCTTGCTCGCATTGCTGTAGATGAGGTCCACTGCTGTAGTCAATGGGGCCATGACTTCAGGCCTGGTATGCTCATTAGAAATGCAGTTTGCGGTGTTATTCAGGCATCAATAAATAATGAGTTAGGCCAGAAATAAAGCCTGGTGCTGCCTTCATGTGTTAAGTAAATACTTAGTGTGTGGCAAGTACCTGTGTTAGCTCAAGGGCTTTAAATTTAATTCACGAATGACTATATCCTTGTCCAGGAGCTAAGTTTATGCAAATGAGGTGATCTCAATGTAAATTTTGCTGTCAGTGTTCTGAAAAACTCCTAAATCGGTTAACTTTACAGCCATCTTTGATTTACTACGACATGAAAAAGTGTCATTCTGTACACCTCTCCCTAACACTCTGGTGACAGAGGTAGAGCATTTTGTAAATTCATGAGATGTATTTTAATTGTTTCTAAAACAAGTTGAAGCAAATGCCCTTGACTTGCAGGGAAAGAAAGTATGCTTCAGTTTATTTCCTATCTTGTTAGTTGTAGATTACTGTTACTCACTGGTTATTCTTGTTTTGCCTTTGATAGAACACCTGATTTGAAGCAGTAGTAACAGTAAAGTCAGACTTTGCAGTTTTGTTAGAAAGTGGCGTCTGAGCAAAGAGCTGTGCCAGTTAAACGGGCAATGCGGAATTTTGATATGTGCCTCTGGCTGCATTTCTGTTCTAAGGCAGCAAGTGATTGTCAGCACTGAGCCATTAGAATCTTTCCTTAGTACAGGCTTGTCTATGTATCCAAATTCCACGTTGCTTGTTTATTAGCAAAGCTGTGGTTACTGAAAAGCTGTTTGTATAAACAGACCTGCAAAATAACCTGAATGTTGATTAATGTGATGCCACTTATATTTTTCTAACTTTTTAAGAACTTCTATTTCAATATGTTTTGCCTTCTGAATTGTGGCTGCTTTTATAACATTCAATTAGAAGAGAAAGCATCTATTTTGATAAATGCAACCTTTTTATTACTTCATTTGGATGTATCAATTATTTCTGTAGTAAATTGATCAGTAATAACATTTATTGCAGTATTACCCCATTGAATGCTATCTACATTAATATCTTTTTTAGCTTTGGATCTATGGTACAAGAAATCTTTTACTTTCCCCTTTTTGTTTTCTTGTTTAGACTACAAGTCTCTTGGTATCTTGAAAAGACAGTTTCCCAATGCTCCCTTGATTGGATTGACAGCAACTGCTACAAATCACGTTTTAAAGGATGCTCAGAAAATTTTGCATGTTCAGAAGTGCATTACTTTTACTGCATCTTTCAACCGGCCTAATCTTTACTATGAGGTATGTCTTATTATCTGTTTGTTTGACTGCATTGCAGTCATAGTATCTTCTGTAAGTTGATGAATTTTAGAATAGTTTTTCAATTACACATTTTAATAATAAATAGCTTTTCAACTGAATGATGATGTTCTTTCACGAATTCATCTTGCTGAACTTGCTGTCATCTGCAGAGGAGCTTGGGCTGCTCGGTCTTTGTGATCAAGGCTTACTAGGTAGGACTGTGTACAGGGGAGAGGTAGGTAGCAGGCTCAGACTGCTTCCAAATTGTTGGTAAAAAAGTCATATGATTGCACAAAGTTGTGAATTATTGTGTTGTACAGTATTTTCAGTTTGATCACAATTTCTTTTATTGTTCTTCATGGGAAAACTTGTGCACTTTTTTCTATGGACTTCTGAGATGTCATCTGACTGCATCAAGGGAATCTAGTTATTTTGGTTAAATGGCAGAATAGTGTTTATTGTACTGGAAGAAGTAGAATAATAGGATTGTTTGACAGATTGTGCGCCCACTTGAACTCTGGCATGTGTTTATTATATTTTTGAGGTTCGACATAAGCCTTCAAATAATGAAGATTTCATTGAGGACATAGTTAAGATCATTAATGGCAGATACAAAGGACTTTCAGGTAAAAAGTGTAAAAAAGTTTAAAAAAAAAAGTTATTTTTTATAATTGTCACCATTACAGGGACGTAGGGATGTTTTCAGGTGTTCCTGAAACATGTAGAGAAATTCTGCTTTCACCGTACGTTAAACATCCAGCATTAAAAGAAATTAAATTTAATGAGATTCGTAGCTTGAATAATTACTCTTTTCAGTCATGAGTATTTAAATTTCTTTACAGTTTACTTATGTGTTCTAAAGTATTGAAATACAATGTTGTGATGTATATAGAACAATGCTTACACAGATAAGAGTGATAGCAATTTTTAAGATTGTAAAAACAAGGCTCAGAAAAGGTTGTGTTTTTAAATCATGCATGTGGCATTTAGTATCTATGTGTCAGGATACTTACTGTCTTTAACACTACTTTTTCATATTTGATCATGAGATTCATTTATTACTCAATGCCCAGAATGGGTGTGTGGTGGGGTGAATTGCGCTTTTGTGATGAATGCGGAACTGTGAAAGTTGGATTTTGTGTAGTGCATAAATTATGTACTACAAATAAAAAGGAGAGCCATATTACAAAGACAACAGAACCCAATTTTCTGGAGCAGTAGTCTGTCCCTGTCTCTGCTGTGGAACTCTGTGGCTGTGCCAAGCAGCTCCTTGAATACAAACTGTGCTAAAATGATCACAAATTGCATGGGTCTGTGTGTAATCCTTGACTTAACACAGACTGACTATGACAAAAAGCAGATCTATCTGAAACCTCAGGTGAGATGTCATAAGGAACAGCACCCCTTTACATAAGCATTAATAACCATTGTCTTCCTTGAACATTAATAGAATACTTCCGTGATTGTGTGGATTGGCACCCCTATTTTCTCTTTGGCTTCCAAGTCAAAACTGCTATTTGAAGTTTCATTCATGGCTACCAATACTGCAGACTGAATAGGCACAGAGATTGTTTACTTGTTTTATTTGTTAATTTTTAAGTTAATAAAGCTTTCAAAATTGTTTTTAAATATTGGGGATTGTTTGGGTTTTTTTTAAGACATTACAGTAAGACATCTTTCACTTTTGTGCAGGAATCGTTTACTGTTTTTCTCAGAAGGATTCTGAGCAAGTTACTGTGAGTTTGCAGAAACTAGGAATTAAGGCAGGGACTTACCATGCAAACATGGATGCTAAATATAAGACCAAAGTTCATAAAGGGTGGGCAGCAAATCAAATCCAGGTAAAGATACTTTTCATAGATTTATGTCTCATTGAAACAAATTGTGTTTTGTTACCTTGATGGTTTCTTAATCTTATTTCAGGTTGTAGTGGCGACTGTTGCTTTTGGCATGGGAATTGATAAACCTGATGTGAGGTTTGTAATTCATCATTCTATGAGCAAATCCATGGAGAACTACTACCAAGAAAGTGGACGTGCAGGTATTGTAGGAAATGGGTTTGGCAAAGTAGTCATTTGCATCTGTTAAATCAGTAATAATATACTTTGATTTCAGCCATTTGTGCAAAGTGTCTTGTCTTTGAAACAGGTTCTAAAGTGTTTGAAACAGGTTCTAACGGCACTCTGCTTCTGTAAAGAGGCTTGAAAGCAAATCTAAATTACATTAACGATCTCGGGACTCTGTACTGCAGTGTAGCAAAGAATGACTGGGTACCTAGCCCTTTACTCAGCATTTTTTTTAATTACTTGATTTTTGTGACGTCTGTGCCTTACCAGAATAATTTCATAACAAGACATTGATTTGATGTATGTTACAGAAAGGATTTTTTTTTTTTTTTACTTTGCATAGCAGCTGGGATGCGTGATTTGCTCAGATTTTGACTAGGTGGTGTCTAATCTCTATGAATTTCAGTGGCCACAGAAATACAAGTAGGCTGGGGAGTCTGGAGCGGGAAATTTTAAGGATTGATCAATGTATAGCAGCACTAAATGGCTGTTATGGCTAAGAAAAAATGTTTTTGTGGTGTATTGCTTTCCTTTGGGTTTTTTTGACTTTGTGCATTATTACTTTTTCAAAGACAGATTTGAATCTATCATGTGGAGGAAAGATTTTTAAGGACCCTAAGGGGCAATTGGTTGAGATTTTAACTGTGCCTGTATGATAGAAATTGGCCTTAATGTAGACCTAAGAAATACAACAGTCACTGAAGTTTGTGGGAGTTTGCATCTGTTAGATGCACTAGAGAGACAAGGACCATATAGGTGCTGAAATAGTTGTTTCACGATGTTTATCAACTTGAGGTGATTAGAGCAAGCTTTTGTGTGTTTCTTTTTCATAACTTGATTTAAATGACATTCTTCTGGGTGGGGGATTAATTAAACACTGCTACTGATTTGCCTGAACACACTACTTCTCTTATGAAAGCTTCCTTTTTCCACTTGACTGCCCATATAAGTGAAGTAATTCCTTTCTGTTATAAGTTAAACTTTTAAGAAGCTTAGGTTTTTTGGACCTTTTCTGCTCTCTGGATCTTGTAAACAGCAGGAGGGCACCCATCAGCACATCATTGGAAAGATGATCTAAGTTCAGCTGTAGAAGACGCAGTTGGTTTTAAATGGAATATTTTGTGAAATCATACCTAATTGTCTCTTCATTTATTACCGTTAATACCTAATAAGGTATTTGAAGCTCACAATGTCTTTTAAACAAGAATTAGGCTTCAAGATGTATTTGGCTAGCATTTTCCAAGAGGTGTTAGGCTGAAAAAAAGGGGGTTTCACTGACGTTCTGTATGATGTTAATATTTTTTCAGTTGTTAAGGAGTCAAAATCTTCATTGTGTAATATTTTCAGTCTGATTGATTCTGTAGTTGTAAAAAGCTGTTCTAAATCTATTTATTTCTAGTCTGTATCGTGCTATATTCTATTGCCTAATACGTTATGCTTGGTGTTCTCTGCTACAGTCATGCACTCTCAATATAAGGGCTGCAGAAGCCTATGCAGATAAGAGCGGAATTTGTACCAGAAAATGCTACACTTAAAGTAAATCTCTTCTAAAGTGTCAAGGCTAATTTTTTTTGTTTATTTTAATGTGTTGCAGGTAGAGATGACCAAAAAGCTGACTGCATTTTATATTATGGTTTTGGAGATATATTCAGAATCAGCTCAATGGTAGTGATGGAAAATGTAGGGCAAGAGAAGCTGTATGATATGGTGTCTTACTGCCAGAATATGAACAAGTAAGTTACTGTGGTGGGTTGGCTGCATCATTTTTGAATAGTTAGGCTAATTTTGTTGGGTTTTTTAGAGGGTGTTTTTTTTTTTAAATAAAAAGTGCTGAACAAAAAGCCCTACAAAACAACAACAGAACAAAAAAATAGCCACCGCACTATAGAAACTCTACCATTGTAACAGTCTTGAGTTTGGAGTTTGTGGTTTAGCTGCTCAGTATGTGTCCTTTTGCACATAACTGAATGTTGGTGTGTTGCTTGCCAGCTTCAGGATAAAGTTCTGGAAACAATTATGTTGAGATAAAATATCTGTCAACAGTGTTTGGATTTCAAATCCCATTCAGAGCAAATACTGCAATGCTGTGTTTTTTACTCTCAGATACCAGTGTTTCGTGGACATACAGGAATCTGCATGTGCTTAAAGCTTCATCCACTGCACTGAGCTGTATGGAAAACACTTGTGTCTATGTCATGGACAACTTGTGCCTTCAGTATAGCCTTTGTTGGCCACAGTCTAAGAATTAGTTTGTGTTCTTAAGATTTTTCATTCTGTTGGATTGCAGATTATACTTACTTTGCTTTAACCAAACTGTTCCTATAGCAGCGTTCAGTATTGCTGAAAGCTACTAGTTACTCCTCTTAGTGTAACTGACAGGGAATACTGTGTTGCAGTGTTTGCTCATTTTTCCTGAGATAATTCTTCATGCTTGTTTTCAGATATAAGCTGATCCAGAGGATCTTTTTCTTGCTGCTTTCGTGATTTATGACATGGATAAATATGTTTATGTTCTGTAGTCTCTCTTTGCTCTCTGCTCTTTCAGGTGTCGCCGGGTCCTCATAGCCCATCATTTTGATGAAGTATGGGATTCTGCAAACTGCAACAGAATGTGTGATAACTGCTGTAGAGAGAACTGTAAGTAAATTGTTTTTTATAACCAAGGACAGAGAATATGGAGAAGGTCGGCGTCAAGAGATACCTAGTTTAGACAAACTGTAAGCAACTTTTGCAAAGTGTGCTCATCATACTGCTTGTTTCCAAGGTTCTTTTGTTATAAATATCAGTTTTTTGTGGCTTAGTGTTGCCAAATTCAGGGTGTTTAGCAGGATGCTTCCAGGCATGGCAGACACTTAGGTATCTTTCAGGCTCAGCCATGTAAGCTCTGGGGCAAGGGGGAGATTGGCTTACCTGTTTTAAAAAGATTCTGGTATGTGTTGGGGTTTTTTTCAGGATTTTTTGGGGGGTATGAAAGCTTTATTTTGAGAAGGGCCCTCTTGCTCTGTACATGCCAAACTGTTCACACTTAGGCTGTGAGAAGGCACAATTTGCACATGTCCTTTTACAACTTGCCTGGTAAAATCTCTGAGGATTTTAGTATCGCATACTCATGAGACCTGCCTGTGTCAGGACTGTGCATGACAGTTGTGCGGAACAACTGAGCACACTAATTCAGGATTTTGCTGTGTGTTAGCCCTAACAGCACAATGGTGTGTGTGCTCTTCCTTTGGAAGCAAGCTGGGATCATAAGAGGGGAAGCATATGGGCTGGACTTACAGGGAACTTGGGAGATGAGCTGAAACAGGACCTGCTGCGTGGTAAAGGAGGTTCCTTTACCTCCTTTACGCAGTTCTGGGACATAAGGTTTTTTTGCTGCTTTGCCCACAAACATCTTGGGCAGTGTTGGGTAACTAGCTTAAACTACACTTTCATGGGTGATCATTGGATGCTTTAACTGTCATGTTGGTACCCATCCAGAAAGCCATGAGTCTCTGAAGATGCACAAAGTATCTATTGTTGCACTTACTAAGTGAGAACTCTGGTTTAGGCATGGGTAATCCCATATAAAGCGAGAAAGCTCTGAAAAGAGTGATGAGAAAAAGTTGGGCTTGGACATCTAACTGGACACACAAAACCACCTTAAATTTCTTTGAGGACCAGGTGAATTGTAATATGTGCAAAATACCCTCTTCTCATACCTCGTATCTGTTGCAAAGAGCTTGGATAATGTAATGATCAGCATTTAAAAAACTTAGGAGCAGCTCTGTATTCAAAACTGTTCTCATAACTAGACTTTATTTCCCTGTACATTTTTTGGGGGGGTAAAGTAGACAGAATCACAGAATGGTTAGGGTTGGAAGGGACCTCTGGAGATCATCTAGTCCAACACCCCTGCCAGAGCAGGGTCACCTACAACAGGTTGCACAGGACAGTGTCCAGGTGGGTTTTGACTGTCTCCAGAGTGGGAGACTCCACAACCTCTCTGGGCAGCCTGTTCCAGTGCTCCACTACCCTCAAAGAGGTTCCTCCTCATGTTAAGATGGAACTTCCTATGTTCAAGTTTGTGCCTGTTATCCCTCGTCCTATCACTGGGCACCACTGAAAAAAGACTGCTCCCACCCCCCTGGCATCCTCCCTTTAAGTATTTGTAAGTATTAATAAGATCCCCCCTCAATCTTCTTTTCTCTAGACTAAAGAGACCCAAGTCCCTCAGCCTTTCCTCATATGAGAGATGTTCCAATCCCCTAATCATCTTTGTAGCCCTCATCTTTGTAGACAAAGCAAAGATATTTATCTTCTTTTTTTTTTTTTTCCTTTACACAGTTAGTTATATCTGTATGATAAAACTGTTCTACAAAATCATGCAAGTAACAATGTCTTGTTATATTCTGGTTGGAAATGGGGCTTAGTTGAAATTGTTACTGGGATCAGAGGTTAAGAGTATGGAGCTGGCTTGCACCCAAGACTTACAGGAGCCATATGATGAAATATAGTTGAAATATATCCTGTTTACTGCTGATTTACGCCCAGGGCCTTCTGATACATAAGCAAGGTCCGAGGAAACCTAGCAGTAGTACTAGTTTCTCAGTACTTATTTCTTAGTATTGGAGGAGGCAGTTGGTGTAATTCTATGCCATGGTCTGATCAGGCAGTAGAAACACGATCATTATGTGCTACAGGGATGTGTTAGTGCTCAGAATAATTATTCATGATGAAGCTAATTTGTATAATGAAATTAATACTTTTTTTTTGTCTCATTTTGTCCGTAAGTGTCTTGAGAGAAGAAAAGTTTGTGTACAAATGTATCCTAATTTAATGGAGGGAAAGTTACAGCTTTATTTTTTAAGTTATAGTTTAAAAACAAACAAAAAGCATTGCTATTATCTACATATATTTCTATAAATATATAAAAATGCATATATATGTATACGCCTAATGTATATATGGATACTATCTAAGTACCTGTAAATAACTTGCTATTTAAATGTTACTCACTTTTGTTTGTAGCATGTGAGAAAATGGATATAACAGGATACTGCAGGGATCTAATCAAGATACTCGAACAAGCTGAAAATATGAGTGAGAAACTCACGCCACTGAAATTAATTGATGCGTGGTCTGGGAAAGGTGTATCAAAACTCAGGGTGGCTGAAGTTACTCCACCAAAGCACCCTCGAGAGGAACTGGAGAGAATTATTGCCCATTTACTGCTGCAGCAGTATCTGAAGTATGTAAGATAACTGCTGATTTTTTTTTTTTAATATCTAGTAGTCTTTTTCCTTTACTCTCGTGTCTCTTCTGTATAGTATTAATGGATACATTCTGTAGCCTCATTTTTAGCCTTTATTTCAGATGCATTTAATGTATTTAAGAAAAACCTCAAAAGATTACTGTATTTCTACTTCAAAATCTTAAAACAGAAGTTGAAAGAACATTTGAAAGGCTGCATCTCTTGCAATTTTAAAAAGCTGGGGTCTTCTGTATTTAGGTTGAACCTTTAAATCTGCAGCAGGCTTCATTTTGAAGAAAATCTGCTTGTTTATGCACAGTCCTTTTACATTCCATGGTTAACAAAGCAAATGGGGTTACCCAGATGAAGGCTATGTCAGGACAGACTGGCTAATGTGGAAGGTGGTACTCGGAAATTTTAAGAACATACAGTGAAAATAACAACAGTACTTCTCTTGTAACCTGGCTGTGTGCTATGTAGTTTGTCTTTTCATATAGTTTTAGAAGTTCCAAGAATGAGTGATCCCTCCCTTAATCCCTTTATTTTTGTCTTAAATTTTTTCTTGGCATCTGTTTATACAGCTAGCTTTTTTAAGAAAGTGAGCAGATGACTTATTACATCTTTTTTCCTCAATTTCCTCCATGTATTCCACCAGATTGGTATCTGTGTGTGTGTGTGTGTCTGTAAAGGTTCACAAACTGAACTATGCTAAGAGTTGGCCAGGCTTGCTCTAAGTTAAGTGGCTGTCCACTTGAATAGATAAAGCAGAATCAACCTGCTATTTGGAACATCCATCAGAAGAGTTAACATGTCCCGTTTTTCCCCTGCATGGTCTAGCCTGTCTTTGTCTCCAGCCTTCTCTTGTAACACTGATTTAATTTATGCAGGGAAGACTTCAGCTTCACAGCATTTGCTACAATATCCTACTTGAAGATAGGACCAAAAGCAAGTCTGCTGAAAAATGAGGCACATGTCATCACTATACAAGGGATGACAAACAAGAAGAGTGTTTACAAGGTATTTATATCTGTACTGAGTTGCTATATAGGTACCTTTTCCATTATAGTTTATTTTAATAGTTTGGTATCTGCTCAATATATTTTTCATAGTAAAGCAATCAGCAGGATTTAAAATAGATCTCATCTTCTCTCTTGTGTGGGAACACTGAAAAAGAAGGATAACAATGTTAGAATTTTAATAGAATTGTTTATAACTTACAGGACAAACCCTCTCAATCTTCGAATTCGAAAGGAAGCAGACAAAATGCTCAGACTGTTTCAAAGACTGTCCAAGATTCAGTGGTGAAGAAGTCACAGGAACATAAACGGCCTAACTGTGGTTCTAACTTAAAAGCAAAGAAGCTTAAGCTTCAGACAGGTGGAGATGACCAACCAGTAGTTCTTGACTGAGTTTCACAGACTACATTTAGGATCCAATCATGTTTGCTTCTCCATGGACAATGCAGTGTGTAAGTTCAGTTTGTGTTCTAGTAATGGTATTTTTTGTGCATTTTTTAATAAAAAAAAAAACTACAAGGAAACAAGTATCTTTAAAACCCTCAAATCTAGAAAAAGTCTACTAGTCAAGGGAAAAATACTTAGTATCAAAATAACTGGGGCATATCTTATGATATAGCAATGACTACCATGTGTAAATAATTACTGTGTTGCCTTTTTAACTTTTTTGGGAGTATACTCTACAGTAACACTGTTACAGGATCATGCAGGCTGGAAAGGACTTCCAGAGATCATCTAGTCCAACCTCCTGCTCAAAGCGGGTCCAGTTGGAACAGGGTGCGCAGGGCTGTGTCCAGTTAAGTTTTTTGACCGTCCCCAAGGATGGAGATTCCACAACCCCTTTCAGCACCTGTTCCAGTGTTTGACCACCTTCATGACAAAAAAAGAAAAAAGGATATTTCTTAGAGCTAGTCGTTATCTCCTGTATTGTAACTTGTCTGTTGCCTCTTGTCCTACTTCTGTGCTTTTCTGAGAAGAGTGGCCCCATTGTTGCTCTTCCATTAGGCAGTTGAAGACAACAGCAAAATTACAACAATGCCTCCCCCCTGGCTTTCTTCTTTTTCAATCTGGAAAAATTCAGTTCTCTGTTTCTCTTCTCTAAGCCCCTTCTTCTCCTCTCAGAGCGTCTAGGCAGCTTGGTAGCCCTCTGCTAGACTCAATCCCGTGCATCAGTGTTTCTCTTACTGGGAAGTGCAAAACTTAACCCAGCACCCTAGCTGTAATCTCACAAGTGCTGAATACCCAGAAAGAGTAATTTCCCCCAGAGTTACGTTTGTATTAATATAGTCTACTATGCACTTGTCGTCTTTGCTGCAGGGGCACACTGCCGATTCATGTTCAGCTTGTTATGTACCGGGAACCTGGGTCCCTTTCTGCAAAGCTACTTTCTAACCAGTCTGAGGCAAGCCTGTACTGTTGCGTGGTATAGCTCCATCCCCGGTGCAGGACTTCGCTTTTGCCTTTAACTCAGAGGTCCCTGTCAGCCCATGTCTGGGTCCCTGTGAATAGCAGCCCTGCTCTCCAGTGTATCAACAGCTCTCCCAGCCTTGGTATTGCCTGCAGGCTGGCTGGAGCATCCCTGTATCCAGATTGTTATCGAAGACCCTAAACTGTATTGGCCCCAGTATCGATCTGTGAGCGTTGCCCCTTAGTAAATGGCCACCAGTTGGACTTTGTACCACAGATCCTGATTCTTGAACCTGGTGGTCCAGACAACTTTTGACCTACCTTGTTGTACATTTATCCAGTCTATATCTCACTGATATTTTTAGCGGTAAGGAAATTATAGTAGATCATGTCAAAAGCCTTGCTAAAGTCAAGGTATACCATATCCATTGCTACCCCCTTATTCACACAGGCAGTTATCTCAGTCAGTCTGGTGGATCAGGTACACGTTGCTTCTGGTAGGTCTAGCTGGCTGTTCCAAATCACCTTTGTGTGTCTGAAAATATCTTCTGGTATTATTTGCTCCTTAATTTTTCTAGGGGCTGTGGTGAAGCTAACTGGCATATAATTACTTAGACCCTCCTTTTTGCAGATGGGTGAGATATTTGCCTTTTCCCTATCGTCAGGAACCTCCCCTAGTCTCCAAGTCCTTTAAGAAGTGACAGTCTTGTGGTGACCTCAGCTAGCTTCTGCAGCACCCCTCAGTGCTGCATTTGTGTGCAGCCAGTTGGCTTAAGTGATCTGTAACTCCGCCTTCCCCTACGGCTTTACTCCCACCAACTGTTAGTAGGTTTGGGGACCTGAGAGGTCTGAGGGCAAACCTTACGAGTGAAAATGAGGCAAAAAATAGGAGTACCTCAGTCTTTTCCGTGTCCTGTGTCACTAGCTTGTTTACATCTCTAGGCAGTGGGGACCATACTTTCCTTACCCTTCCTTTTGCTGCTAAGGTACTTACAGAAGGTATTTCTTATTGCCTTTCACATCCTTTCCTAGTTCCACCTCCAGCTGGGCACTGACTTTTCTAACTCCCTCCCTGTGTGCTCAGGTAATGTCTCTATTTGTTCTGGCTATCTTGTAACTTCTGCCTCCTTTTTGTGTTTGAGCTAGCTGAGGAGTTCTCTGTTCCCCCATGCTGGCCTTCTGCCTCCATTGCTTGACCTTCTGCACAGAGGAATAGACTATTTGTGCGTTGAGAAGGTTGTGGTGTGGAAATCAAGCAGCTCTCCTGAGCCCCTTTGCCTTGCAGGGCAGTCTCCCCGGGATCCTGACAAGCATATCCCTGAACAGGCTGAAATCTGCTCTCCTCAGGTCCAGGGTAGTGGTTCTACTATGTCTTCCTCACTTCTGTGTTGAGTTTAAAATTCTGAATCACAGAGTCACTAAGCAACATCTGGAATCTGGGAACCTAGTAAGTAACAAACCTGTTCATATCTCCAAGTCAATGTGGGCCTCTCTCCCCCACAGTAGGGATTCTCTGGTAACTCATCTTTTTCTTCAGTGTGTGAACACTCGGCTCAGGTTCAGCTGGCATCAGTGCATTCCTTGGTGGAGTCATCATCATCGTCGTCTTTCTCAGGGCACTGTACCTACTCTGCAATGGCAGAGCTGCAGGTGGAAAAGGAGCCCTCTGCGTTGCTGGAAGCAGGAGGTTTACAGCCTTCCTCCTGTGGGAGTCTGCATCCACTGCTCCTGTGAGGGTAATCTCAAGGTTTTTCCTCCTTTGCAGTGCAGGGCTCAGGTGGTCTTTACCTCTGCAGAGTCTCTGTGAAGACCCTGCTATCTCCTGGCTGCTACACAGGCTGCTCATCTCCTCCTCCAGCTCCTTCACCCAGCACCTCAGCACTGCAACCAGAGCACAGCTTCCACCGGTGAGGCTGCTGTCACCAGCCCCAGGGAGAGACATCAGACGTGTGGAGACCTGGGCTGCTGCAGCACCCTTCCTCTGGAGCCATCTGTGGGTCAGCGCCTCTGCTGTGCCAGGGGCAGTTCCAGTCCACACGGGCATCACTGTCACTGCAGTTCTGAGCAGAGATGTGGCCCGTTTCTGCGATGCTTAGACCTACTACAGCACGTTTGAGTACTTGAGCGTACTTTAGAGAAGAATTTCAATGGGGCATTTTGACAACATTGCACTACTTCTGACTTGTAGAGATTTTTGTGAAATATTGTATGTATTTATCCCTTTAAAATATGTCTGTTCTTAGAACTGGATTTCTCTAGCTTGTGACTCAAATAGAAAATTGTCTCTTCTGTGCTTTTCAGAAGTACCTAAATTTATATTTAAAAACAAGACAACTTTTCTTGATTGCAGCTGTTCCCTTTGTAAAAGTTATACTTTCTATGGGAAATACAGAAAGAACGCCACTCAAGAAATACTTTTCTCTCTTCTTTTTTTCCCCTCCTTCCCCTGTTGAATCGGCTTATATTCCAACTACAGATCTGTATTCTAACTAGAAGTGATTCTGGTTCTCCTAAGAAATACTCTTCTGCTCTACAAGCACTAGAAGTTGCTGGAATGCTATTGCCATCTTAATATTTACATTTGACTAATTATATAAGAAGATAAGTTTCATAATAATGGAAGGCTCATTTTTATCCAGTAAGTAGACTTGAGGAAAGATTACTTCTTTCTAAACAAGGAGCAAACCACATGGCTTAGCACTGTTCATGTTCAGACAACACAGAATCACCAACAGCCCAGGTGGGAAGGGACCTTGAAAGATCTAGTCCAACCTCTTGTAGGAAAGGGAGCCCAGACAAGACTATCAGCACCCTGTCCAGCTTTGTCTTGAAAACCTCCTGTACTGCCCTGCAGAGGTTGGTTGTACCAGTGATTCTGGTACAGTTCTCACTGTAAAAAACTTTTGTTTCTTATGTTGAAATAAACCTAAAGAAGTGCTCGAAGAGTTCAGAGCAGCTGCTGTTTTTCGGTACAGGCACATGTCAGGGTATGGCAGAAGCTTCAGTTCTTTTGCAACAGAGGGCATAGTAAAAGCTTTTTTCCATTCTTACTTCTCCCAATCAAGAAGTACTTCCAGTTATATAATCAGTATCCTCCAAAATTGGTTATTTGACCTGCACCAACATTGGTTTAGTTGCTCATTCCCACCTTCTGCAGCATGTAATTAAATGCATGCCACTAAGTCTTTTCCTTTCCACACCTGATCCAGCCTGTAACATAGGACACCGCTTCCCACTGGCTGAACTGTGGCCATTCCACGTGAAGGGTTACAGTCTTTCCTCAGCATTCTTTATGGACTGAAGAAAATCTTCAGCTACAGAGTTTTTCTGCCTCCTATTTCAGCAGAGAGAATACTTAACTGCATGTAAAGTATAAATATATACCTGTTGATTTCCTTTGATTAGCGTTTCCAGGATCAAGTAACTGTGCTGCCAGAGTGGTAAAGACCCAACCGCTACTGCTGACTTCAGGCCTTGCTAAAGCACACAAGAGGCTGAATGCTAGATTAGATTTTTCTTTTATTTTCTTATTTTTAAGATCTTAGCAGCCAATGATCAATAAGGCAAGTTCAAACTCAAACTTAAATTCTGGCAGGTTTCATTGTGGTTTCCCCTACCCATATACTCAGATGTATACCAACTTAAATATAAACCAAACACGAATAAGAACATACTCTTCATCTTTATTTTTCTCGTAGAATCTTGTTAGTGACTAAAGCTTAGTATTTTACCCATTATTTAACTGAATCCTCTGCCAAAAGTGGAATAAATTAATTTAATTAAACAGTCATTCTCTTAAAAAATAATTATATTCTGGGAGAATTCCCAAAATGTACTGCCAACTTTGCATTTGGTAGAGCACAACAAACTGTTCCCAGTTTGACCCTAAATAAACAGCAACTCCCAAGTAGCAATTGTAGAACCAACCCAAAAGCCAGTGTGAAACAATCTATGTCCATGGATGGCATAATGGAATCCAGAGAGGACGTTACGGAATAGCTTAAATTGTTGGGCTTTATCACCTAGGCACTAAATTATGCCTGGCAACTAAAAAAGAAGGAACTTGATTGAAGCAAGCCTGGTCATGCGCATCACTACTATTAAGGTACATCTTGCGTAACTAAACATAGAGCCAGGGAGCTCGTTACAACCAAAATCAAACAGCTTAAACGCCCATTGGCAGCTAAGTAGTAGAATTTTTGTCACTAGTTACCACCAGACAAACTGGAGTTTAGTACCTGCAAAAATTCCTTCCTGGAACCAATATGCACAACAGTGGAAATGAGGAGGGCAAAAGGCGGCCAAGACACATAGTCCCTGTGAATGTCTTCACTGAGTGACTATAATCGTTGTCTATTAAGAATCCCATCAGGATATAGGACTCCCATTCAAAGTGGCATCCAGTACCATCTACTACATAGTCTGAACACAGCACCCTGCTCCACAGCCTCTTGCCAGGGAAGACCGCTGCAGATGACGGCCCCCAGTGCTGTTGTGTTAGCCTTTCCTTGGAGCGCACTGCTCACCGATCCTGGGGAGATACCAGACAGGACACACCAGTGCAGCTCTACCACAATACCTGCACAGCTGAAGTGACAAGCAGTAAAAACGCTGCTCTCAACTGACATCTCATCCTGGCTGTCATAAGTCTAAGATTTTGCGTTCTGTACTTACCTGAGTAGCAAATACATTTATTTCAGAAATAAATTTATGAAAAAAATAAAATAAAACATGGCAAGATGGATGCTTTATATATTTGCAGACCACATTCCAGGCAGTGAAGGTCTGAGCGCCGTGTGCCTTGAAGATGTTCCCTGTTAATCTGAGCCAGCTCGACAGAGACAGTACCATTAGCTGGAACAGGAGTCTTGAAACCTGTGGCAAGTACTCACAGGTCTGAGCAGTGGAGGAATGGCAACACACCGCGTGACTGCCTTGTAAATGTTCACCTGAGCAAGTGGTTTTAGGAAGCAAGGGCTTTCCCACCCTAGCCAATACGCACACCGCCCAAGTCCGGAGGTGGCCTTAGGTAAGGCAGCAGCACCACATCAAGGGTGGCTTCCTGGTTGAGATGAGGAACACACATGGCAGTAAGCCATAGGGAAACTGGGCTCTGGTAACCATGGCAGGTGAATTACGCATGGTTCAGGGAAGAAGAGAGCTATGAGGCAGGCACCCAATTTAACATGTTTTATTTACTTTTTAAAAGTGAAGGCTGCCTTGCGTTCAAGTGAATGCAGTGCAAGGGAACAGCACAGTGAAGCCCACTTTTTATGACTGTTCTAACCCTGTTCTCATACGCTCATCTGATGTAGACAAAAACTCTTTGCCAACATTAATAAACTTGGTTTTGTTGCTGCATTTCTACACAGATTAATTTCATTTGCTGGTCAGTATTTTGACAAGATCTATACAAAATCTTTGTAAGGCATTGCATTTATCCCTCATTTCTCATAATCCCAAGGAAGCAGTTTTATAAGACATATTAATCAGTGTCAAAACTTTATATACAAAATGGAAATGGGTTTTTGTTCAATCAAAATAATCTTCTATATCTATATCTGGATTCAGGAGATCTTCACCGTAGGCTGAAAGATCCATTTGATTTAAAATTAAGTTTTCAAAGGTTTCTTCCAAGTCCGTTTCACCAATCAGCACAGCTCCCATCATTCGGCCGTTCTGCATCACTACTTTAACGTACTCTTGTCCCTTGGTACATCTCAGCATCAGTTCATGGTCTAAACCCAAGCCCTGAGCATTGTATTTTCCCAAAACCACCACCTAAGCGAAGGGGGAAAGAAAAAAAAAAAAAAAAGCAGCACTCAAAATCATTGCAGTAGCTCTTAGCATTTCTGCTGATAACAGTTCTAAGCTTCAAAAGACTGATGTGAACAGGGAAGTATTTGTCCCTAGGGAACCTCCCCCCTTCATTGGCTTTCAAACCCACAACAGAATTAAAAATCTTCACCTTGAAATACCATACACAAAATGCAATAATGAACCAGTTACCATGCTGAACTGTATTGAATTTATTCATGATCAGAACCTTAATGAAATGGAATATAGACAGAGATGCAAAGTAGACCACTGTCGCTCACCAATTAAAATTTGTAACATATCTGTAAGGAACTTTGCCCTCGTCAGTTTCAGCATTTGAAGTTAGTATGAATGGAGAAAATCTAAACCAAGATTAAATATTATATAGAGAAAACTGTTTCATCAATATTAAAGCATCTGCTCGGCACTGCCAAATGAATATAAAGCAAGGAATGTGTGTGTTACTCAGCGGTTGAAGACTATTAGACTTTACCTTGTAATTGAAAAATTTTGTAACGTGAGCAAATAGTTCAAAGCTGAAATCCAGATCAATAGATTCTCCCAAAGTATCTGCTGCCATGCATTTTGCTGCATACCATCCCATCTGCCTAGCCTGAGTCCACAGTCTCATCTAAAAGAAAAACAAAAAGATTTAAAAACACAGATAAATGTCACTGTGTAATGACCGACACTCACTGTCTCATTGATGCATACTACATATTTCATTGTCGTCAGAAAGCCCAAACAGCTTGGCTTTCAGCCATTGAGATAAAATTATCTGTCATCAACACACCCAGGATTATCTACTTGTTCACTGGTTTCCGCTTCAACTGAACTCTCTTTTCTCCCATCTGTGTAATAGTGTGTAATTTACTTTGTAGATTAGACTGCTGCTGAGCGCACAATCGTATGATTTGATTTACCTGATGCCACACCGGACTAGGTTCCCACGACGCCGTGCAGATATCCCCAGCTGCATATATATCTGGTAGGGATGTGTGCATGTGTTTATCTACTTTAAGACCTCCATCTTCACCTACAGCAAACTAAAGTATTTGTACAGATCAGCAGTAAGAAAAATAATAATTTAAACTAAGTAATTGAACATCATCCATGTTAAGCAGTCATCTCATTTGTTAATTTTTAATGGCAGACTCCTAAAAATCCACAGGGGTGTTTTAGCTGCTGCCAAGCAGCACTTATACCGCCTCGCGGCCTTTTTTTCTCATGCTGCCCCGCCGGCGGTAAGGCTGGGGGTGCACAAGAAGTTGGGAGGGGACCCAGCTGGGGCAGCTGACCCCCACTGACCAAAGGGATACCCCAAGCCATACAAAGTCCTACTTGGAGGAAGGGGGGACATTCGTAATTATGGCGCTTGTCTTCCCAAGTAACCATTATGCATGATAAGCGCTGCGTTCCTGGACATGGCTAAACACCTCCCTGCTGATGGGAAATAGTGAATGAATTCCTTGTTTTGCTTTGCCTCAACTGTCTTTATCTCAACCTATGAGTTTTCTCACTTTTAACCCTTCCGACTCTTCTCCCACCCCACTGGGGGAGTGAGCGAGCTGCTGAGCTGCCGGCTGGGGTTAAGCCAGACACCCAGCAGAGACAGAATGACCTCAAGGCCTGAAAATTCACATGGCAGCAACACGCACTGTAATCATCATCCACGTTTGGATGCTGATTCAAAGTGTGACTTCCCTTGATGAATATGAACACCTTTATAGCTCGGTTTCCTAGATTAAAATTATTGGAAATAACTGCTTCCTTCCCAGAAGAAAATTTTAGGATTTGTAAGATAAGAATATGGTGCAGAACTAACACAAAAATTATTCTAAATTTTTGCCATATCAAACAATTCTACAAATGCTTTTTTCTCTTTGTATGGGCTCAATCTTAACAGTGCATATTGCATATATACTGTGTATCCGTACATATCATAAGTAGCAATATAATAACCCAAGAACGCTAATGAAATTAATTTTTATCATGTTAGCTATTTCCGCTATCAACAATTTTGCAATGCTGTACAACATTCAAAAACCCTTATCAATGTTTCATGTTAGAAGCATAAACTAGCTGAAAAAGCTTATTTCACCTTACTTAAAAAAAAAAAAAAACCACAACAAAACCAGCTTAAACTTCAAAAGAAATCAGTATACTTACATTATTGCCATCAAGAAATGGTTTAACATTTGGCACAACTCCAGTTGCACTGACAATGAAATCACATCCATAAATTTTTCCATTAGTTAATTCCACATATACAGGCCATAGCACTGAAAAAGGGGAAAATTTTGCCCTGAGAATGTAACCAACAGAAGTTATTTTATTAACTATGTCTTATAATAAGACATGAAATAAAAAGAAGGGGGAAAAAAAAAAGTCTTTTGAGGTATCTAACTGATTACGTAGGGAAAAATAAAAATATAATACATTACCAAAAAAAAACAAACAAACAAACCACAACACCAAAAAGAGATATCACCTGCAACGTTTCTTACCTCCACTCAGGGCTAGAAAAAAATGAGATTCTGGAGCTTAACTCCAAGTCCTACTATTAACCCTCTCTGGAATTTTCCTACTTCAAAGCCTTCATCAGTAAAGGAAAAATACTGTATCCTGCCACTGCTTCAGATGCATGGGATATTCTCTGAAGTATGCAATTGCCAAATATTCTTTTACATATAAATTTACAGATGCACAGGAAATGCCTCAAAAGCAAAAATAATGTCAGAGACTTGACTTCCTAGAAACTTATGCTGAAAGTAACTGGCTATTAAAATAGTATTTTAAATATTAATTTTCACTTAGTGGCATTTATAGGTATAATTATTCATGAAACAAATGATATTTTCTTCTTTCTTTGAAGAATTACATCAGTTTTGACACTAAATGTTTTTTGCTTCTCTTTTAACTACATTATTAATATATGACTTTATTAGACTTACAAGGAGGAAATATTCTGCACACAGGATTTAAGTGACTTTGTGGAAAAAGGGTCTGATCCATAACATTTTGTAATTCAATTGTATTCCATAAATCAAATTCTTAACTACTATCAATTGCTAGAGCTCCATTTAATTTATGGAAATAGAGCATTCTTTTTTCCCCGAATCTCTTATTTGCTCTAAAACAGCAACCAAGATCAAACATGCTCCAGCACTGCTTTATCTTCAACATGTTACTTCTAATCAACACTGGCACCTACCCTCATCTGGTTCCACATTTTTCTCTTCCTTAGGAAAAGTCAAAGAAGTCCGTTGCAGTTGTATAAATTCTTGCTGTAAGTGTATTTTCTTTACTTCACATAGTATTTCAATATGTACTTTATGAGAAAACTAAAGAAAGATTGACAAAATTGTAAACATAATGATTAGCAATAACAGTATTTTTATAGCAAGTACACCTTAATCTAAATTGACATTACCAAACTGAAAAAAACCCTGTATATCCTGTCCTAAAGCACAACACATTAGCTGAGTTCTCACACTTTTTCCTTTTCTGGCACAGATCTAACCACAGCAAATGGCAATTCACCTACTTTTTCAGCAGATCTCTGACATTCCTTGAAATTTCATGACAATTTATATTTTTCTGGCATAGCAGAAAACATATTCAAGTTCCCCTGAATTTACAGGAAAAGAATTCAGAACTTATCAGGACAGAAAAGTAATGTCATCTTTTCTGTCTTCCAAATCCTTAATTTTCCTATGATGAATGAACTTATTGTTATCGGAATTTAATGTTTGAAATACTGTAAAAAAGAAAAAAATTATTATATCCTGTTTCATCAACATCTGTTTCAATCACTTGCTCTTATTCTGAGCTTGAGACAGAATTTGGAAAGTTACCTGTTTCTCTGAAGTATTTTGTGGATTCGGGCCTTGAACGGTTTAATTCTCCATTACACAAACATGTTTCCACAGCCTTTAATAGCCCAAACACCACCAATTAATCTGCTGATTACCCTAAACATCCCTTAGTTGGTATTGTAAAGCCATTTCTGGTGGAATCTATGACTGATCACCTTTGAAAGACATTTTTTTTTAAATGGATGTAACAGATGCAAACACCTAACAGCTAAGAAATTAGTAAATAAAAACCTGATTAAAAAAAAAATATGAAATGTGATGATTTTTACTTTATTTCAAACATGAAACTCTTCACAATGCTCATGTCCACTACTGATTTCACATTTCATTATTTGCTGTGACAGGAGATTGATGTTCCCTGTACCTCTGTACAAATCCTACTGTCCTATTTTTTACAGAAGACAATGTATGTATGGCAGCTAAAATCAGGACAACAGAGGCACCACTGCTTTTGGTCAAAGCTAGGATTGACACTGGTCCTGCAGAAACATGCAAACCAACATTTATATTTCAATCTGAAGAGCAAATTGCTGAAACCATGCCAGTGGATCTGGTAAGCCACCTTCTCCTTCAAGCAGAAAATTACTTTATTTATGTTAGCAGTTTCCTGTTTAATTCTGACAGAACAGAAGAATCAGTTCAAGCACATTTCATTTTTATTTTTCTAATAATCCTTAATGTGACATTTCACATTCTGTCATCTTTACCCGCTTAAAGCAACAGTTAAACAAACGTAAGCAAGATTATGACCATACCTCTTTAGTCCCTTTAAGATGTAAGCCCTCATGCCAATCGGGGCCTAAGGCACTGCCCAGTTTGTCAGATGCTGCTATAGGTCTTTCTTTTTCCTCAATTCCTGAAGGAAAGAGATGAAGAATGTCAGATTTAGTGTGCATACTTCACTGTCTGCAGAATTCAGAACAAGAATTCTCAATTAAGAGAAATAGGATCTGGTTGCCAGAAGGGAAGACAAAAAAGTGCAACGTCCCAATACACATTAATTTGCAGGCAAATCAGACTCCAAGTCAGTATTTTTAACACCTTTCAATTTTACGCCTTTCATTACTTCACTCATCTCCAAAACAACCATGCTGCTGTTAGGCACCTGCATGGACCCGTAACAGTCAAACAGACCCCAGATGGCCTGTTAAATTAACTGATTGTAGGACTATCTTTAATATTAAATGCTGCTGCTGCAGTGTTAGGAGACTAAAACACCGTACCTTCCGTTGTATACTTGGTTCTTTTACATTCGATTGGAGTCTCTCGTTTTTCAGCAGTTAGCTTTGGAATGAGAAATTCAGCTGCTCCTGCATCAAAAAAAGTGTTCCCAATGGCTTTGTCTTTGATAGCCCAGATTACTTCGCAGCCTTGAATTTCATACCTGTGGACATTTAAACAATAAAGTGACCAACAAGGAAAAAAGGATCCAACTCTTAGCAACACAACTAGAAGTGTGCCAGGTTTCATTCCAGAAGCTAGAAACAGGGGATCCAAGACTCCTTCTAAATATTTACATAAGGAACACATAAAAAAAAACCAAAAACCACCACCACTCTTCAAGTTGACAGGTCATAGTTTCTCAGCAGCACAACCTCAACTGAAGCAGGGCAGGGGGTGAGGGGAGGCAGATCAAATTTATAATAGTAATACTTAGTATTTCCTGCTCCCCACAATGGAAAAAAAATGTGCATTTTTGCCAGACTGCCACTGCTAAGAACAGGAATTTGGATCTTGTTTGTATTACCTGGAACATGAACTGGTAGAGACACACAGAGGAAAAATTTAATGAAAGTGAAAAAGTGGTTCCCTGCCACACAAAACAAGACTATATAATTGCATACTACAGATGTTGAACTGGCAATGTTCACTCCCAGCCCGGAAGTCCAACCGTATCCTGGGCTGCATCTAAAGAAGCATTGCCAGCAGGTAAGGGAGGTGATTCTGCCACTCAGTAGTAGTATGCTCTTGTGAGACCCCAGCTGGAATATTGCGTCCAGCTCTGGAGCCCTCAACATAAGAAGGACATGGACCTGTTGTAGCAGGTCCAGAGGAGGGCCACTAAGATGATCAGAGGGTTGGAGCACCTCTCCTCCTATGAGGACAGGCTGAGAGAGTTGGGGTTGTTCAGCCTGGAGAAGAGAGACTTTATAGCAGCCTTCCAGTATCTGAAGGGGGCCTACAAGAAGGCTGGAGAGGGACTTTTTACAACAGCATGTATGACAGGATGAGGGGTAATGGCTTCAAACTGGAAGAGGATAGATTTAGAATGGATATTAGGAAAAAAATTTTCACTATGAGGGTGGTGAGACACTGGAACAAATTGCCCAGGGAAGTTGTGGAGGTCCCATCCTCAAGGGATGTTCAAGGCCAGGCTGGATGGGGCTTTGAGCAACCTGGTCTAGTGGGAAGTGTGCCTGCGTACGGCAGGGGGTTGGAACTAGATGATCTTCAAGGTCCCTTCCAACCTAAACCATTCTATGATTCTATGTTTCTGTAATCTAGCAGACTGCAGGACCACATGGTTCAATATCCTACCTGTGACAAAGGCCATGTCAAATACTTGAAAAGCTTTATCAACTTAAATTAGGCTGGGTGCAAGATAAGCTGCCTCTCTATTCCTTGTTATATCTTCTGTCTCCAGAAGTCAGACAAGTTTTATAACTCGGCTGTTGCCCTTAATAGTCTTAACAGAAATCTCCGTTGATGCCAAACCAGAATAACCCCTGTATACACTTAATATCTGTGTCAAAGCTTCTGCTGAAGCTTGCTGAATTTTATGTCACAGTAAGCTCCACTATACTGTGAAAAAAATATTGTAATTGATTATGCTACTAAATGCTTTAAGAGTTATAATTTTGTAAGTCAACCTTCTCCCAAACTCATGCACATTAGATTTAGCATGGAATTGTTAAAGATTATTTGCATATTCATCTTTAAAACTTAGTCATTTACTTACACTAATTCAAGTGCAATGCCACCGTTTCCTACCACTACTATTCTCTCAGCTTGAGCCAAATTCTTCTGAAAAGCCTGCATTAAGAAAGAAAAAGTCAATTACAACTTAGATTGTATGATCTAAGATTAATCACCGATCAATTACATACATATTTTCAATATTTTCTTGCTCTCTTAGTCTTTTTATTTTGATTTTCTCAACCACTGATACACATGTACTTATGCTAAGATCTGTTACAGAAGCTAATGAAACCTGTGAAGTTCTATCACATTAAGGGATGAATTTATTGATACAGCCTTACAAGTCTCAAATTGAGACAGGGAAAGTAAAACAATTAAATTTAAGCCAATTTGACAGAGCCCTTAATAGAATCCAACAGACTTTTCTGTCCTAGGGACCATTAGCATTGTGATACACGTTAATCCAGTTTTATCACTTGCATAACTTTCACTGTAATTTGCATAACATTAAAAAGGCAAAGATACAGAAAATTAAGATTTAAGAATTCCTGATCAAAAATCAGGAATTTAAAAAATAATTTGTAGCACATCAAAGAACCAATTTTATTTGTGCAAAAAAACTTTCAGAAAGAAACAAGTCTCCAAATCCAACTTAGGAGTGAGAGAAATAAAAACATATAGCCCAGACTATTTTTTCAGATCATAATATAACCACTTCAAGTATCTTCTTTCAAACAAATCAAGAATCACAACTATGGGACCAACTACTGCAATTACACAAAAATCTGTTCATCCAAGCTTCCAGTATCAGAGAACCTGAACTGTAGAAGACCATGAAAACTGCAGTTCTTTAATCCCTTCAGAGAAGGAAACTGAAGTTGTATCAGAGGGGACTAGTGAATGCAACCAGTCACCATTAAAAAAAACCCAACCCAAAACCAGAAACAAGTATTTTTGGTCTCATTCAAAGCTCAACATCAGTTTTGATAAATGATTGCTCAGTCTACTGTTTCCCACAGTGCCTACCAGTGGATGCACTGGGAAGACCATCAGAAGACAAGCAGCATGTGACAACGTTATCCTGGAACACCCTCATAGGTTCCAGACCTCACTGGTGCCACTCAGGTGGCAGCTTTCTTTACAATTTACACAAGATAAATTTATCAATGACTGTCTTTATGTGATTTTTTTCTTCCCTCCTCTTCTCTTTTTTTTTTTTTTTGTTCTTTTCTTAAACTCAGGTAAATTTTTATTATTCAGACCAAACAACAATTTCATAGTTTCACTTCAGTTTGCTTGAAAAAGTAACTCCTTTTTTATTCTCAACATCAAACTTCATTTGATGAATTACAGTTCTTATGTTATGGAGAAGCAGTGCTCACTTTCACCTTGTCTCCTCTAATTCTAAAGAGCTGTAGCAGCGAAACCTCACTTTCTACTTCCAAGCTGAAGTTTTAGTCTATTAAGTCATGCCTCACGTGAAAATTTTTCCCACATCTTTGACTATAACTTACTTTTCTGTACAATGAGGAAAGGCTACAGTAGAACTAGAAAAGGTGTTCTTCCATAGCTTTTCACTGTAAGAATTAGCCCTTTGTACCCTGTACCAGATACACCTTCTCAGGGAAGTTTCTACTGCTGCCTGCTTCCTGTTTATATTTTCAAATTGGCTTCTGCCTGGAGGGTAAAAGAATACCATTTATTCTAAATTATCATGTTAGAAATATTGCCTATGAGCTATCTATAAACTTAATAAATTTAGTTATCAATTAATTTATTTAATGGTATTTTAAGGCTATTTCTCTGCTACTGAAAGTGTTCCTATTTAAGGATATAGAATAACCAACATCATATGTTTCTCCATTTCATTCCACAATCATGTTTAGTATTCTGCATCCAAAGCAAGAATATATTCTATACTGCTAAATCCAAAACACATTTACCTGTGCACTGTCTGTATCTCGGATTCCTAACACATATGGGTTTCCTTCAAAAATTAATTTTGGTTTTGCTCCAGCACACAGGCAAAGTTTTTCATACATATATTCCTCCCCATCTTCAGTGACAATTTTCTGTTAAAAATTAAGAAAAAAGAAAAAACAATGGGAGACATCTAAGAGAACATCAGGTGGTTTGTTTTTTTTTCCCCTTAATGTCATAGTATTTTGCAGATACTAAAAGCTGTAACTGGCTCCTTAAAGAGCAAGCCTTCATACCCGCATTGATTGTGTTATTTATTTGCATTACACTCACCACAGACTTACAAGCCCAAATATATGACATTATATGACGGATAAAATGGAAAGTGTACACAGTGCACTCAAAGAAAGATGAAATATAAAAGATGACCACTTGGTGGCACTCTGTACTCACTAGCTGTGCTAAAAGAATCGATTTTTTACAGGACAATGTCCCCCCACACCACTAACTGATGTAGACCTATGCGCTATAGAATCTCATTCAAAACATTCCAACCACCTGTGTTAACTGGACACAGGCTGGAATACAGTTTAGAAAGGTTGCAAATTCTGTTCTTCACTAAAGAAAAGGGCTAGGCACCGAACAAGCTACATCATTCTGCAACAAGCAATACTTAAAATTTAGTATTTTATGACCTTATTTGTTGTTTTCCAAACTATAAGCTAAATAGTTTACAGTGGGTTTTGCACAAAGAGTTTTTAAAGGTTTTTGGAAAACAGAGGCAAAAGATCCTCCAAAACCATGTACATGAAATATATTGTAATAATGACACAAGAATATAATTTGATTCAGAATATTAGCAAATTATAATCTAACTGGAATGATATCTGTGTGACTTAAAATGAGCAAAACCAGCTTTGGATCTGAATGTGAGTTTCTGATAAATGCTGAAGTGAAAAACAACGTGGTGAGCTGACACAGACGCTAACAAAGATCTGCATGTGCTGTACGCTGCTCATACTTGCAACATTTCCTGCTAAACAGAAAAGGTGGAAATGTTGGTTCTTTCAAGAATTATTGGGGTTTTTTTTTATCATAAGTTGTAAATATTTTGGTCTCTGTAGCAACAAGCAGTAATTCAGCAATTACAGAGATCTCTGATCAAGTGTTCCAGAAATTGACACCTATATTGACATACAGTATTGGTTTCATTGACTGGTTTCCCTGCTATGCCAATCAGGTATTCAATGCAGTATTTCTATGGTGTCAAAGATTTAAATGTAAAAGATATGGTTTCTTAATTAACAAGTAATTTTTGAAAAACAATTATGTCCCCTCTATGTATTTCTACTTGAACAACAGTGTAAGTGATAAGTCAAAGTTAGGAAGTATTTAATTGTAATTTTGGTAACTTAACACTTTAATAACCAGAATGTTCTTCAACAGAATTTCAGACCTAAAATGTTCACCTGTTGCTTAGATTTTTATTTATAAGCAATTTGAAAACCCACATAAAAGTAAAAGAGGAAAACATTAGCTTACATGGTCATCGCTTTTCAACTGTTTTACTCCAGACTGTATAACTTTAATATTGGGATATCGTTTTTCTAATAGAGAACTTGGTTGCTCTTCTACATCAAATTCCTCAAGTGTTTTGGAGACCTGTATAAAGAGAGGTATTTAAAAATATGAATCATTTATCTATCTCTTTTTCTAAAGCTTGTAACAAAACGTATTATGTTCATTTCCAGTAAAGAAGTCACAACATAAAGCCCATATTGTCTCAAAACATGTTACCATGTTACTGCTAAAAGTTCCTTTTTATATACAGAATCTTTTCATGCCTATTCCTGGTAAAGAGTCAAATTAATACAAAGAATTTTAATTCTAAAGCTAGAGACTACGCAAAAATGGAGAACCCTGATGGCTGCTCCAACTGCTATAATGTTTTATTCCATAAATAGACTACATTATAAGAGTTGTTAACACTGCTTTTTAAATTACCTGATGCAATGTTAAGACCCTGTTTTTCTGTTTGTTATAACATTGATAAAATATCTCAACAATGTTCTCCTATGCAAGCATCTTCCACTCCTCTGCATTTTGGAAATTATTTTTTTTGTCAAAATAGATTGAAGAGTTATAGAAACACTTCTGTCTGGAATACATATTTTTATTCTATTTAAAAAAAAAAATCTGGTGACATTTTCTTTAAAAACCTAATGATTCAAAACCCTCTTGTTGCAGGTAGCTGGTCCTTATGTCAGGAAAACTGCCAGGAAAGACACGGACCTGTTGTTCAGCTTGTAAGCAGGACATATAAGACAAGTGTTTAGGCAAAACAGATTCAAAATCACCTCAAAGTATTTGCTCAGTTAGCATCTCATCCATAGTCACTATCTGGTATTTCAGAGGCTTGCGAGGGAGGGAGGAGTGGGAGAACTTGGAAAACAGTCAAGTTTATTATGTTGATTTTTTTTTTTTTTTTCCCCCCCAAAAGGGATCAGCTGCATGGGAACCTCCAGGCCTTCTACTTTATAGAATACTCAAAAGAGTCTGGATCATAGGTAGGAACCAGAAGCCGTGCCATGCTTGCAATTCAGAGAGAAATTAAGATGCTCAGGTCCAAAACTTAGATGCTGCTGCCTTCAAACACTGTTTAGCTATTTCCTTATTCTCCAGATACTGAAAACTTCTGCCAATGCGAATTACAGACTTCTGCAATGTGTAAATGTCTTTCCTGGGTCCTCATGATCCTACTGTGAGCACTCTCAAGCTCAGAAGATATTCTTAAGTTGGGTGTTACTCTGCCAGTCTCACACAGAGCTCTCAGTCTCTCATCTATGTTCCGAGTATCCCATTAGCCCTGGACAAAAACCACAGTGCGAAAAGGAAGAGATACTTACAGACAACTACAGCCACTAAATGCAAAGAAATGCTGTTCAAATGTCTCTGTGCTTGATTTTCCCCCTGTAGTGATCTGAATTAGGCATTCATACACCAGGAAGAATTATGTTAAAACTGGCCTGTCAGATAAACTGCAGAGTCACCTTTCTTTACTTGTCATGAGATACACCTAGCCTCTAATGAAGGAGTAATGAATACGGAATGCCAGGTAGAAGCCCAGCTGTAGGTGTCTTAACTTCCAACTTCTTAGTGGCTGGCAGCTTTGCATCCTGAATTCTGCACAATCCAGTCCCCAACTCTTCCCATGTCCTATGGCAGAGTTTCAAGTTCCCTCAGAGTGGGAAAAAGAACAGTGCTTTCCAAGATCTGAGTATCTCTGCAAAAGTAGCTTAATGAACCTCTAGCCAAAAAAAAGAACTCATGTATGGATTTTATTTGCTTTTCCAACCAGCAGGAAAGAGGTCATTAAATCATCAGCTGCTGCAGACATAAATAAAATTGAAGGCAAATTCACAGAAGGCTATCCCTTTTTATAATTCTATACATCCCTTCTATATCATTCTATAATGCCTTCTTATAATTCTATATAACTCTATAATTTAGAACCAGGATTAGGTTCTAAATTACCTGTACATACACAAACTTCTGAAGAGGTCCTTACCATAAGAAAAATTAAGCCTCTTACCTGTTTGAAATTCGTTACAGCTTTTATAACTGGAGAAGCTGTCATTAAAAAAATGTCTTCTGATGGGAATTCCATAGCCAGCTTGTAAAGAAACAGAAATCACGATGAGTGAAGAGAGTCATCAATACATTTTGACTTTAAAACAATAAAATTAATGGTGAAAAGTAGTATGTGTTACTACATTGCTTTAGTCTTGTAGAACCCTACTGGATAGACACTACTTCAAGATTATGGAAGGATAACAACAACTGAAATTAACAGAATCTGGAGACCTAAGACTTTAATTCATTCACACACAAATATATCTTCAAGAACTGCAGCCACAGTATAAATGACTACTCAAAAGACTATTTTCACACTATTCTAAAGGCCAACTGCAGGAACAGACTACGATCACATGATTTCTGGAGACACTCACTACTTCAAGATTATGGAAGGATAACAACAACTGAAATTAACAGAATCTGGAGACCTAAGACTTTAATTCATTCACACACAAATATATCTTCAAGAACTGCAGCCACAGTATAAATGACTACTCAAAAGACTATTTTCACACTATTCTAAAGGCCAACTGCAGGAACAGACTACGATCACATGATTTCTGGAGACACTCAGTTGCTGGACATACTTTTTTTTTTTAATTGCATAGCAGTGACTAATTGTTCACAGATGTCACTCTGACAGAGGAAATGCTGATTCCTATTGGCTATTTAAAATGTTATTTAGTACACTGATAAATGGATTATCACCTTCAGAGTGCTATTAAGCAATACAAGACTTTTACAGGCCCCAAGCCAAAGTGAAGAGTTCCCATTTCAAATGTGCATTGCTCTGCCACAGAAAATAAATCAGCTCTGTCAAGTATAAACCACTCATTTCTGAGGTACAGAGAAAATCCAGGGTTCTTTACCATCAGCATTCTACAGATGAACAGAAAAGTTGTGTAAGCCACCAAGAAGCACATTTCATGCTGTAAATGAACAACTGAGCTATCAAGGGACTAGCATGTATTCTTGTACCTCAGACAGGAGCAACCTAACATAGTAATCTGAAGGTGAAGGTGGTGAAACTTTGTTGCCAGCTTCAGGGAGATTCACATGGTCAATACAGTTGGCAAATGCAAACGAATTTAATGAGGCTATGTAAAACTTAATGTAATCCACACTTCACAGCATTAATCCCTAACACGTTTCACATGTATTGTAGCTGTATACTTTCTATTGGCAGACAACAGGAAAAAAGGTTGACATGTAACACACTGCGCTGCAGCAGCTGCTCCCAGCTGTATCTAATAAGCCTCAGAAAAAAATACAGAATGAGCATGATCATGTTCAGTATCTTTATTAAAGAGAGATAACGGGATTCAGCACACCCTCAACAAATTTACATGTAATACCAAGCTGAGTGGTGCAGTCAATTAGTCAGAGGGAAGAGATGCCTCCAGAGGGACCGTGGCAGGCTTGAGAAGTAGGCCCATGTGAACCTCATGAAGTTTAACAAGGCCAAGTGCAAAGTCCTGCACCTGGTTGGGGTAATCAACATTATCAGTACAGACTGGGGGATGAATGGATTAAGAACAGCCTTGCAGAGAAGGACTTGAGGATACCAGTTGATGAAAAATTAGAGAAGGGCTGTCAACACGTGCTTGCAGCCCAGAAAGCCAACTGTATCCTGGGCTGAATAAAAAGAAGTGTAGGCAGCAGGTCAGGGGATTCCACCTGGAGTACTGTGTCCAGCTCTGGAGCCCCCAGCACAGGAAAGACACGGACCTGTTAGAGCAGGTCCAGAGTAGGGCCACAATCAATGGCCAGAGGGCTGGAGCACCTCTCCTATGAGGACAGGCTGAGAGAGCTGGGGCTGTTCAGCCTGGAGAAGAGAAGACTCCAGGGAGACCTTATTGTGGCCTTTAAGTACATAAAGGGGCCTTAAAAGAAAGATGGAGGGACACTTTTTACAAAGGCCTATAGTGACAGGATAAGGGCTAACAGATTTTAACTGAAAGAGGGTGGATTTAAATTAGATATTAGGAAGAAATTCTTTCCTGTGAGGGTGGTGAGACACTGGAACAGGTTGCACAGAGAAGTTGTGGATGCCCCATCCCTGGAATTGTTCAAGGCCAGGCTGGATGGGGCTTTGAGCAACCTGATCTGCTGGGAAGATGGTGGAACATGGAGCAGGGGCTTGGAACTAGATGATCTTCAAGGTCCCTTCCAACTCAAACCATTTGATGATTCTATGTAATCATCATCAGATGTACACTATAACCTAGAATTTTAAGGCTGACATCATGTACTTTGCATTACTTACACATGCTCAAATGCTTAGCCCTGCTCTCTTATTAGGATATAACAGTTATTTAAAACTTTTGTTCAGTATTATTAAGGTTATTGCATTTCTTTACCTTTTGAAATACTAAAATTAGAAATTTAATAGAATAGATATATAGATAGAATATTAGGTTTATCCATGCACATGGAAATGTGTAAGTCATCACAACCCAGAAAGAAATGTTGCAATATAAGCATAGGAGGCAGAAATTATCTAAATAATGCAACATTATGTGACTGAGAAAATAAATCTAACTCAGGCTTTTAAGGAAAAATCAGCTTTTAAAACATTTTGTCAGAATATTTCAAGATGCACTCAAAAAGTAACTAATGCTATGTGAATTTTTTGAGACAGACCTGATGCAATGATTATCCTCAGACAAGGCAAGTCGTCTCCTCAGAGAAGTCTGAACTACAAGGCATCATATAATGCATATCCAAAATGCAATATGATGGACAAGTTGTTTATTGCCACTATGCTCCACAGAATTGTACTTGCTCAAAACCAGGACTGAGAAAAACTGTGTTCAATCTTCCTCTTTTATTTAAAGCATGCCGTCAGCTATGGATGTACAACACAGAAATCCTTCTAGAACACACAGTGCCACATTTAATGGACTTGGTGAATTAAAACATATGCTAGAAGACCACTAATACTCACTGCTAACTGAGCTTCCTGCAGTACTAAGAGATGAGAAAAAGCAGCAAGCTTCTGTCACCACATAACAATCTGATTTGGATTTTCCATGAAAAAAAATAATGGCAAGGGAAAGGAAAGAGCATAAGAAAAGAGGTGTGAATTAGAGCAGTAAGTGGCACTCTTTGTGAGCTTTGGAAGAAAATAAAGCCCAAACTCTGTGGCATTAATACAGCACAAAGCATTCTCAAGAAAATAATAAATTTCGGTCCCTTTTCTAGCAATCTTAAAGACTATACACATCCAATATATATTGGAAATAACTGCATTGTGAAACAGAGGATCATTGCAATTAGATGCAATTTTAAATTACTTCCAGGAAAACAAAGTCTCTGGGAATATTAAATATTGACCCAAATCTTATTCTTGCAAGCAAATAAGGATACACAAAAGCCTTAATTATGTGAACAATTTAATCAACTTTTAAGGCATTACTTATATCAATATAGCATTTCAGTGTCCGTAGTACCAGAGCCCACATTAACCATGAACAAAAGGAAAAAACCCTCAAACTAATAAGCTGTAGAAACAAACCAATTCCATAAAGATGGAGAACAGTATCAATATTTTTTGTAATTTAGTCTGCATGCAGTTTATACAATATGTCAGAAATGAAATAATACCACTTTAACACCAAACGATAGATGCATCTGAAACACACTCTTTATACTGCTTTGTAGTTTTAACAGATAAAATGCTCTTCCATTGAACTAATATCATTCCACATTATAGGTACATAATTACCTCCACTTACTGTTACTTTAAAAACACCAAAAACCTTGAAACCAAGAAACAAATGACTTCATTTTTAGAGCTTGAGCGCACGAAAAGCTGAAGAGATTGACAATCTCCACAGGTGTACAGCCCTAAACACAGACCCAATAAAAACAGAGCAATATTTTTATAAAAAAGGAGCACATCACAGCAGCCTTCACCTTAATTGCAGTACAATTGTTTATGGTTATGAGGAATAACGCACGCAGCCCTCCCTCAAGTTTCCAACCTCTTGACCAGCATACAGAACACCAGCTTGCTCAGGTTACAGAGTTTTAATCCTCTTTTTATGAAGCAGTTGCAAACCCTTATAATGTTATTTGCATGATAGTTTTAACCTCTTGAGCAATATTTCTAGACAGATAAACGTTGTTATTTCTTCCCTGGCGCTGTTTTTTGTTTGGGTTTTGTTCTGTTGTTCTGTTTGTTTGTTTGTTTTGTTTTTTTTTTTAAGAGGGACAAAATATTTCACAGAATCACGGAATGGTCAGGGTTGGAAGGGACCTCTGGAGATCATCTAGTCCAACCCCCCCGCCAGAGCGAGGGGAGGGTAGGACACAATACGTAATTACTGTATGAGAATACTTATGCAATTGCCATATAAATCTAATGAACTGTTTCTACAGAAGTTCATAAGTAGACCCTGAAAGCATTTATGCCTTTAAGTATAACACTTATCTGTACCTGAGCGATCCGTACAGCCGAGCAGGCCGGTTTCGCCCCCCGTACGGCCGGCCGCCCCCAACGCCCATACGCAGTGACACGAGGCCCGTGCAGGCCCTGACACCCCCAACGCCATGGAGCCGGAGACCCTCCTCCGGCAGCCCAAGGGCCGAGCCCCGGCCTT